TATATATATATATAATTTGCATTTTGTTATAGAAAGCATTTAAGGCACTATGTCAAAGTACTCACTTGTACGGTCGAAGATTAGTTCTTGAGTGGGCACAAACGGAAGAAGGTATTGAAGAAATCAGAAAACGTACTGCAAAACATTTCTACCAAGGTAATTAATTTTTTTATATCTATTGTACTTTAATATAATAAATTGATTTACATTGATTGATACAATAGAAAATTGCATGACTCTGAAGATGTTTTAAATTTCTTTTCAGAAAATTCAACAAAACAGTTTAAGAAATCCAAGTTAGATCCTGAAAGTGTTGGTCTTGAATTAAATACGATTCAAGAAACATAATTTACAAATTATTTATAAATTATTCGATAAAAAATAATTCAAAAATTATCATGCGCGACTCTAAAACGTTTATTAAATTGTAAGAAAATTAAGATTAGTATTCTTGATAATTTTTAGCATTTAATTATTTTTTGATAAATGCTTATATCAACAATATTATCTGCAATATTGTATAAATTAATGAATGATTATCGGAATCAATAGGTCTATTTTTTTATAGTCGAACTAGTATACACTTTTTATTTACAGAAATATATTGATATATGTTTAAAATTTGACGAAAGCGAGAAAAAGAAAATTCTGGCGCAGTCCAATTAGCAATAAAAAAGAAATTAAATATTTTACAACACTTACATGTTCGTATCGATTTTTATTCCTTTTTACTTTACGTTGGTCAGATACTCGAGTTAGTTAGTTGAAAGTCGAAAGAATTTTTATTATGTGACAGTAATCTTTGCATCATGTTTAAATGTAACCTTTTCTTTTTTTTACTTTTCCAAGGAACGATTCTGGTTTTCAGTGATTGATATAATAAGATATATTTGGTTACCTTGCTGCCTGAAGAGCGATGGCATACAAAAAAGCTTAAATAGTAAAACATAAGCAGTAAGAAAATCAACATATATTGGATTTACTATTATTTACATTATGGCCAATTTACTTACTACTTAAGTTTTTTATATGCCATGGCCCATAATTTAAATAGTTTTATAAAATATCTATAAAGCAATATATTCTTTTTTTATCGATTAATAATTACATGTAAATAATAGTATTTATTGAGTAATTTAGTATTTAAATATATTACGGTGTGAAGCATATACGTAATGTGATATATGTACAAAACTTAAAAGTTTTTTAAGCGTTTTTTTCAACAGTCTTTTTATTTGCTTTTCTATATTTGTCAACACCTGCAATTTTGCTTAAATTTTGCAACATCTTTAAATTTTCTTTTTTTAACTGCATTTTTGGAAATAAGAATAAGCTACATGAAGAGAATAGAGAAGAGGATAGTGATCGTAGCTAGTTTTCTTTTATCAAAAATTGCTAAAAGAACAAAGATTTGTTTTCAGATTTTAGATTAATGAATCAAATCTAAAATAGATTACAGTAATTAAATAATAATTTAATAAACATTTATTATATTACAATTCTGGGAACTTTTGAGCCATTTTATATATGTACATTTGTATGTTAATATGTTAGTTACATCTGTGATATGTATGATATGTATATATGTGTAACGTGGCCGTATATTTCATTGTCATTATATATAATATAGTTTTTATAAAATATTTAAATTTCAATTATTATGACTATGTATGAATTTTGCCTCATAGCGCATAAATATAATAATTAACATTGTAAATAGTACTTTCATTAGTATTGTCGAACGAGTGAACTTAGTTTATTGAAGTTTGTTGAAGTTTGTTGAAATATCACAACAAATTTTAAACATTTCATGAATTATTTATTTGTTGGATCAACAATTATTTCAAAAGAGTTAATTTTTTTATTATTATATGTATATATATTTTTTATTATATATGTATCGTTTCGTCAAAAAAAAATTATCACACGTACACATAAAAAAAATAAATGAGAAATAATTGTATTGGTGTTTATTTGTGTTAAATAATTATATGTTCAAAGTTCCTCGTTCGACAATAATGTTCACACCTAAAGCGTTACATGCCCAGCGAACAGAAGCGAACCGGCACCGACGAAGACAACCGCGGCCGGCAAGGAAATGTCTTCCTTTCACCTCCACTACTATACCGCGCCAGGGATCTTGCACGGGCTCGGCTTCGCGAAGGACTGGAAACGCGCCCGCGGTTCCGGTTGGTGGGGTCCAATATCGGTGGCATGTCCCACGAAGGTGCTGGCAGTATGAGAGACGACCCATGAAAGTAACAGTGTGTCTTCCGTCCACCTTCGTTGGGCTTGTGGCGCGATTGCCAGATAGACTGAGCCAGTCGTATACTTATTGTCCTGGAGAACGGTGCTCGTGCCTCGTCCCGCAGGTACTAATAGCGCCGCGTCGTCCTTCAGTGTCGTACAGATACAAGGTCGCGAGTGCAGCAACAATCGCATTTTGCCGCTGTGGCTCCGTGCATCTTAAGCGGATGTATCTGATGCGCGATGTGTACAAGCTGAGGATCCCCTGACTGAAAATCTTGACTAAGTCATTGGGAGATTAGACCAAGCGATAAACATGGACTGGGTAAGAATCTCACCTTCGAATTGATCAGTCGAGTCTTTGTAAATTAATTTTGCAAATTAATAATGACCCAAGAAATTATTAAAAGTATTTAATCTCTTGAAAACGACGAGATGTTAGAGTGTCACACTAGATGCTCGATCAGAATAACACTGACATGTTGAATTATATAAAGAATTAAGCAATTTTTAATTATACATATAATGGAGATTATATAAAGAAGCAATTTTGCATTATTATAGATTAGAAATCATGTTATTAATTCCACGTCTATAGAAAATTTATTCTGAAAGCGTTTTGTGATTTCTCTAAAACCTGTTTTAATACCAGTCGAAATGTCACGTTGGGCGCTGAATATATTAAGATTATACGAGAAGCAATTTTTAATTTTATTCTCAATAGAAAACAATTTATTTTCATTAATCTATAATATATCTAGAAGAAACTTGTTCTGAGAGTAATGATCATCTCTCTTTGAATAACTTTCTAATCGAACTAGAGCTGAGTGTTTGATTTAGAATTAGAACAAGAATTAGACTTGGTCAAAGAAATGAAACTTTATTTTTATAGTGATAAAGTGTTATCTTCAATTGATTTCTAATGATTAATATTTTTATTAATAGTAACATTTGGCGAAAGCAATGATATACGGCTTTCGATAGTTCTTGCAATCGTCAAGAAGAAACACGCAATCCTCTCTTTTGTATCGATAATTGTTGCGATCATGAAACCTCTTTTTATTTTCCCTACAATTATCATTTAATTAAAAAAAATAGTTGTAGAAAAAACAATTGTAGGAAAAATGTTTAAGAATAAAAAAAATCATTTCTTGACCCGTGATTTCGTCATGAAAATGTTGATATAAACTGATTTAAATGAGTTGAGTACTTTTAGTTTGATCCGAGAAGGAATTAATTTTAATACGTTGATTTTTTACATTTCGATTTATGGTATTTTACGAGCGATATGTTGATGTATACTAGTAATTTCTAGCATCCGCTAGAATGTGTAGAATCTTCGAACGCGACGTTAATGACGGATGCACTCTCGGAAAAGTAATACAAGGATTACGCCTAGGCGGGAAGTGCAGACTTTCCTGCGCGAAATGTATGTTATCTCCGAATCAAACATGGACGGTGATGCCTGCGCCCAGTTATTTCAAGATTGTTCAAGATTTCGCAAAAGAATAATGTTTATTTGGAAATCATCAGGTCTCCGTGAGCGAGAGACTTGCATTTCGCCTGAATCCGCGTAATTATACCTCGATCGTTATCCGTACGATTTGCAATTCTTCTCACTAGGAGTGTGTTACTGGAACGCGATGCGTAGACTAATTTCCGACCGGGCGAGTAATGATTGAAATTGCATCAACATTAATGAGAAATCGTGTTCGATTGCGGTTGTGATCGTGGTTTGTGCTCTATATGATTTCGCGTAACACAATCCGTTTTGGCGCGACTCGATGAGGCGAAGTAAGAGTTGCGCGTCGCGGAGGCCGAGATCGAATTCCAGAAGGAAAGATCTACATTCGCGTTGAGTAACGCGCAGGCGAGGGAAACATTTGACTTGCATATTCGCCCCGCGGTATCAAAACGCGATTACAAACACGAACGGCGTGGAAAAGAAACCTTGAGAACTAAACGAGAAGCACAAATCTATGGGCACGTCTGTAGGCGTAGGCACTCGCTCCTTTTTTCTTTTTTTTTTTTTTAACTCTTTGCATCTCACTAGTCACGCTTTCAACGAGTCCACGGTGTTAATGAGCACGAAAGTGAGAAGGAATGGAAAGGAGACGAGGAGAGAAAGGAATATCTTCTATAAACGCGTAATTCTCCTAATCTTATTCTAATCAGTATAATTGAAGAGATCCGAAAGTCATAATATTTTCAAAAAAATAAGTTTAGGAGTTTAAGAGTTTTAAGCTTCGAATTTTTTTAAAATGATATAAAAACACGGTTCTTTGAGAGTAAAAGTAAAAAGTGAAAGATATTATTACATAATATTAGTATATTTATATTCTCGTTAATTATTTTCATCTCTTATTCATCTTTTTTTAAAATAAATCTACTATTTTTTTATTTCGATTTGTAAGGATTTTTATTTATAGCTATGGAAAATATTTTTTGGGAGTTGTAATCTTATTTTAATTGGTATAACTGACGAGTTAGATTTAAAAAAAGAAAAGAATATCATTTTTAAAGAAGTAGACTTAGAAGTTTCAAGTCTCGGGTTTTTTAAAAAATGATATTGAGCGGAGCATATCCAGAAATGGAATAAGATATAGTTTTTAGAGTGTATAAAGATGGAAAGTGAAAGACAACGATACGCGTAATATTAATATACTTTTATCTTCGTTAATCGGTTCATCTATTATAGTTATAAATCTACAATTTATCTCGATTTTTAACTTTTGCTGCGCGGGGCATGGAATAATTCAAGAATGGAATAATCTAAGAATGGAATAAAAATATGAATCTTTGAGAGTAAAGATGAAAAGTGAAAGGCAGCGTTACATAATATTAATACATTCATCTATCATTCATCTTTATTCAAAATAAATCTCTCTGATTTATTTTGATTTTTAACAGTTATTGTTTATGGCCATATTTGCGATTATTACATGATCAGTGCAAGTTAAAATAGCAAGTATTAAGTATAAAAGCAGTTCTACCATAATTTTAATTAATTATCCCCGTTTAATTTTAAATAGCGAAAGTAAAATTGATTTTAATTGCATAATCTTATTTTAGCATGTTTCAACGTATGCGTAAATTATTATAGCTACATTTTGCTATTTTGCATAACTGACGATGACTTTACTTGTGAAATCGTTATGCATGTTCTCTATTTTTAAACAAATTTTTACCCCTTTATCGATCATATGGAATTTTGCCCCTTTCGTCAGCAACCCTAGTCTTTGAGCTTCAGTGCGGGTTTTTTATATTGTTCCGGACTGTATAAAAATCTGAAAAAATTTTTGCATACTTGCAAAAGCTTTAATAACGAGTTTTTAATTCATAGAAGTTGGATTGTATTTTACTTATTTTCTACATATTTAAATTTATTTATAACTGATTGTGCCTTCAAAGGCCGACTTGGCCGGCGGAGAGTTAGTAGATCTTCATGAAAAGGATCAATTTTACCGAAAAATATTCTTGATACGGAATGTTTTCGCGTCTTTTTCGTGTTCAAAGAATTCATCACTTCATTAATCACTACTGATTATCTTTTACCGCAGCGTGCAGATTTCGCATAAAACATTGAAAAAAATCTTTTTGTTATATGATTATAAAAACTTACTAATAAAAATTAATTTATTATGACGTTTAAACTTAATTTTTTATCATACAATTTTTTATCTAATCAAGATTAGATAAAATTATTATGTTACGTTATGATTAATTTAGTAAATTTATTATTGTATATTCATTAAATATTTATTTGAATAGAACTATCTCTAAATATTTATTAAATATAAACACATATTTGTTTGGTAAAAGAATCATTAATTTGATTTGTTACTTTTTTATTGCAATTATCTATTTAGTGTAAGTAAACGTTTAGTTAATACTATTTAAAAAAATATGTATGGTATTGATATGTAGTAAATTTCTAAAAATGTGTATACATGGTGTGTTCCATATATCTCATATCGATAAAATATATATTCTTTTTCAAAAAATGAACCAAAGAAGATATATCTTCCATGTTTCTTATTCTCTTTTCGCGTGCACGCGACTGCTTTATCTACAATATCGAACAGAAAATGGATCATGCATTGCGCGATTAATTCGCTCACTTTCTGCGACGTAATAATTCTGGAAAGGATATCATCGTAATCTAGAAGGTGTTGGTAAGAGAACCTCTTACCGCATTCCTCGCAGCGATAGTAGATTAATGTTGCAGCAAAACGGTGCAACTTCTCAGGATCTACGCGCGATCGAATGTATCTCAAGGCGCAAGCGAGGCAAGCTGCATAGAAGAGATCATTTGAGGGCATGATCTACGCGCATATCGAATACCTGGGAACGATCGTCGGCTTCCTCCCGATACTGGAAGGAAAGAGGGGTCCCACCTTGTGCCACCCCGGCCCCCTCCTTGGCGTTACACTCGCAATAAGCTTTAAGACGTTGCACCGTCGCAAAGAAGGAGCGAGCGCGTGTAGCAATTCGATTGCAAAATCGACCGAGAGGTCGTAACAATCCTTCTGTCCGTTCTTCGACAAATCGATGCAGGGCAATTTGAGAGCCATAAAAAAAATTGCACTTTACTTTATCCAACGGAAAATTAGATTCCAATAGCGGTGGACTTAGTCATCACTTTGGTCCCGACTACACAAATTATACTCTGTAAACCGCAGTGTCCTGTTGTGACGTATCTATGTCTTCAAAATTTGCGATTATTTATATAATAAGATAACATTGCAAATAATATCTTAGCAAGTAATAACACTAATAACACTGCCCGACGTTTTAAGACTTTTTCTCTGCTGTTTGAATAAAAGATACCATTTCCGATGTATTTTCGCGCGCTGAACACGAATCCGGCAATGAAATTGCTCTATCACGTCACGTTTTTGAGAAAAGTGAAGTTAAAAGTATAAAAATTGACATTTTTTTGACATATTTGTGATTTTTTTGCTAGCGAAGTAAATTTTTTTTCTACTTTCGTTTACGCCATCTTAAAGTGCCAACTTTTATCTTTAAAAAATATTTTTTTTAACGTCGTACGTTTTTTTTTACCGAGATAATCTCTGAGTAGTCACGCAAAGAAAAATGTTTTTGAAAAAAAAATTTTATGAACTGTGTGATGATTTTAGTAGCAAGGTTTTTAAGGTCACTAAATTCGAATCTGAAGTCAAATTTTCGAAATTAAAAATAGAGGATTCAATATGGCGGAAAAATTTGTCATCGCAAAAAATTTTTATCACAAAAATTTGTCATTTACGCTTTAATTTAATTAAAAAAATATTATTTACAATATTAATTTTGTAATTTTAAATA